CTGTGAAGTTGGGTATTTTACCCATGCATTCCTTCTTGCACAGCTTCAGAGATTAGTCCTGTTGTTTCACACTTGAGCGCCTTTCCATCCAGAGAAATACCTCTTTATTTCTGTTTCCTCTCCCTAGTTCACTTCCCCTTTCTCCATCTTCTCACTCCCCATGTAACTTTGAATAACCTCTGATGTGCAGCCTTGCCAGGAGCACTTTAGCCTCCAGAGTTCTGGTCACTGGCTTCCCCGTGTGCTGTGATAACCCGTTCCGTCCCATTCTGAAAGAACTCTCGGAGATTAGTCAGACACCATTTCCTCTTGCCGGAAACATGTTGCTTTCCTTTAGCAGGTTCTGCTTCCTAAAGGAGTCACCGCAGCCCCTGCAATAGGAAGAGCTTGGGCTTTGGAGCCAGGCATGTCTGGGCCGGGTCTCCATTTAAGTTTTTTGTTTTTAATTCTCTTTCTTTTTTTGAGACAGGGTCTCACTGTCGCCCAAGCTAAAGTGCAGTGGCGCGATCTCAACTCACTGAAGCCTCAACCTCCCAGGCTCAAGTGATCCTCCTGCCGCAGCCTTCCGAGTAGCTGGGTCCACAGGCCCACACCACCGTGCCTGACCCATTTTTATATTTTTTATAGAGACGGGTTTTGCCATGTTGCTTGGGCTGGTCTTGAACTCCTGGACTCAAGGGATCCACCCACTTCAGCCTCCTGATGTACTGCAATTACAGGCATAAGCCATCCTGCTCAGCTGAATCTCCATTTAAATTTAATGAGAGGCATATAACTATCATTTTTTTCCAGTGAAAGCTTACAGATAGTTATCTGCCAAGCACTGTACTAAGTCCAGGGACCCTGAGATATGAGTAAGATATGATTGCTGTCCTGAGGGAGCTTACAGGCAAAAGAGCATGTAAATGAATAATGATTCTATTATGAGAAACGGTAGGAATATGGCCTGGTTACTGAGGGGGCCGTGATGTGAACTTGGATGGGTTACATAACCTCCGTGGGCTTTCACTGGAAAAATGACAGTGCTGATAGTATGCATGCCCCTTACAGCAGTCCTTTTCAAACATTCATGTGCATCCAAATTACCTAGGAATCTCAGTACAATATGGATCTTGATTCACTAGGTCTGAATTTCTTATTTGATTTGCTTATTTATTTTTGAGATAGGGCATTGCTATGTTGCCCAAGCTGATCTTGAACCCCTGGCTCAAGCAATCCTCCAGCCTCAGCCTCCAAAACAACTGGGACCACAGGCATGAGCCACCACACCTGGCTCTGGAATTTTAAAAAAGCTCCCCAGGTGATTCTAACATGCAGCGAAATTTGAGAACAGTTTCTTTTGATTAGGTGTCAAAGAATAAAGAATGCTAGAGTCACATAAAATGCTGGGGAAGTGAAAGGTCTTAGGGTTGAAATGGACACGTGTATCCCAGATTCGGAGGCCAGGCCAGACAGCAGGCTCCCGAAGACCTGTGACCCAGCGTCACGGGATCAGGTATCCATGGTCCACAACAGTAGGGACCTCCTCTGTGTGCTGCTTCTCTTTTCTCTCACGCCCACCCCACCCCTCCTGCCAGGTTCCCCAGATGATCGGGCCCCGTGACAGTGAGTGTGGATTGATGAATGGGAGGAGGAGAAACTGGGATAAAGAGAGCCCAAGGTGGCCGGATGCAGTGGCTCATGCCTGTAATCCCAGCACTTTTGGAGGCCGAGGCAGGCAGATCACTTGAGGTCAGGAGTTAGAGACCAGCCTGGCCAACATGGCAGAACCCCTTCTCTACTGAAAATACAAAAATTAGCTGGGTGTGGTGGCATGCACCTGTAGTCTCAGCTATGTGGGAGGCTGAGGCAGGAGAATAGCTCGAACCTGGGAGGTGAAGGTTGCAGTGAGCCGAGATCGCACCACTGTACTCCAGCCTGGGTGACAGAGCAGAGCGAGACTGTCAAAAAAAAAAAAGAGAGAGCCCAAGGAAGGGACCTGGAACCTGCTCTGGGACAACCCCCAAGGATTCTGTTTGGTTCATCTAATACGTATTTTAGCACTTGTTATCTGCCAAGCACTGAGCTAAGTCCACGGGCTCTGAGATATGAGTAAGATATGACTGCTGCCCTGACGGAGCTCACAGGGGAGACAGCATGTAAATGAATAATGATTATATTATGAGAAATAGTAGGAATATGGCCTGGTTACTGAGGGGGCTCGAAAGAGCAATTTCGAGGGAATCAGGGAAAATTTCCCAGTGGTCAAAGTGTGTCTTGCAGAATAAGTAGCAGGTTTCCAGTTAGATGTGGAGTGGGAGGAGGAACCCAGGAGCTTGTGAAATGCCATCGCACATTGAGGGAGCTGGAATTCTTGTTTTCTTTTTTGAGACGGAGTTTTGCTCTTGTTGCTCAGGCTGGAGTACAATGGCATGATCTCGGCTCACCACAACCTCTGCCTCCCGGGTTCAAGCAATTCTCCTGCCTCAGCCTCCCAAGTAGCTCGGATTACAGGCATGTGCCACCATGCCCAGCTAATTTTGTATTTTTGTAGAGATGAGGTTTCTCCATGTTGGTCAGGCTGGTCTCGAACTCCCGACCTCAGGTGATCTGCCCACCTTGGCCTCCCAAAGTGCTGGGATTACAGGTGTGAGCCACCGTGCTGGGCCCTCAGGGAGCTGGAATTCTTTTGGTGAGGCTGGGGAGCAGAGCACACTCGGAGCATGAGTAGTGAGAGGAATCTGGGAGGCCAGGCCAGCTCCCGGGGCCTGTCACTGCAGCCAACCTTGGATTTCATCCTACAAGGAATGGAGGTCCATTCAGTAGTTTGAAGCTGTGGAGCAACCATTCACAGTTGTGCTTTTTTTTTTTTATTGCGATGAAGTCTCACTCTGTCGCCCAGGCTGGAGTATAGTGGTGCGATCTCGGCTCACTGCAGCCTCTGTCTCCCGAATTCAAGCGATTCTCCTACCTCAACCTCCTGAGTAGCTGCTGAGTAGCTGGGAATACAGGTGCGCACCACCACACCCGGTTAATTTTTGTATTTTTAGCAGAGCTGGGGTTTCACCATTTTGGTCAGGCTGGTCTCGAACTCCTGACCTCAAGTGATCCACACCCCGCCTCAGCTTCCCAAAGTGCTGGAATTACGGGCGTGAGCCACCGTCCCCAGCCCAGAGTTGTGTTTTTAGTGGATCCGCCTGGGTGTCATGTGGTGGACGGGTGGAAGGGGACACTGAAGCAGCGGGGAGACCACAGCAGTGGCCCAGGAGAGTTGTGGGGGCTGCAATGAAGTTAGCAGCTATCAGTGAGAATGAAAAAGAGCGGGTGGTGGGAGCCACACTGAGGATCTGGTTTGATGGCCTTGACTCACTGGCCAGATGCAGTGGATGAGAGGCAGGGCAGGGATGAGGCGAGGCCGGTGAGTCGCTGAGGGTGCAGTGTAAGGGATTCTTCCCTCTCACGGTCCTGCAAATGCTGACCTGGAGTGCGAAGGAGGAGCCTAGGATGGGTTTAGGTCTGTGACGAGGTGATGGGGTAAGTGAGGAGATCATTAACCAGGAGCACAGGCAGCTGCAGTGTGGCAGCACGGACAGCCTCCAGGGCTCAAGGCCCGCCTTGAGCCTCTGAGGCTATGTGGGGCTGGAGTGAGGCTCGTGCCTCTCTGGCTGCCCCAACTTCGCTCAGCGTCTTTGGATGACAAAGCCTCACACAGCCCAGTCCCTGACCTCCCGAAAGCCACCGTTAACCCTTGTCCGGCTGTGTTCCCAGTGATGTGGCTCTTACAGGTGGTCTCCTGCTCCCCAAGTCTGACAGCACCCCCTGCTTTGAGATCCCTCAGGCAGGTCAGCTGTTTCCACTGGGAAAAAAAAAAAAGTCCAGTGGAAAAGCAGCCAGCTTTTTCCACTGGTTCAAGGTGATTTCAACCTTCCAGGAGGCCCGTGATGAAGTCAGAGGACAACTGGGTACCCTGGGAGAGCACTTTCTTCTTATTTTATTTTCATTTTCTAAAATTTCAAATCAGGCACCCCCCAAACCAGAATAGTTTTCGAGAGGCTGCCGACAGCACCCTCTTGAAAATACATTTTATGTAGTCACAGTTTACACAAATCTGACATTATTTCAGCTTCAGATTCCAAAGCACTGACTAGGAGCTTTCGCAGAGTAAGGCTGGGAGTGTGGGGTTCAAATCTCTCCTCTTTGCTACTCAATAGCTGCATGGCCTTAGGCTGGTCATTCTCAATGTCTTCATTTGTTAAACGGGGAGGGGAATAGCCCCTCTTAGGGGAGGATGGAAACCATGGTGTTAAGGGCTTAGCTCAGTATCTAACAGATACTTAGTGCTCAGCAAATGTTTGCCAGCCATCCTGGAACATAGGCAGCGTTCCAGTATTGTAGATGACAGCCCTCAAGGGAATAATTTGCCCAAAGCCTCAAGGTAAGTGGGTAGAACCGTCTTCCTGGCCTTCTCCAAAGCTCCTGCTGTGCTGGGCCCGTGCTGTTCCTTCTTGCTGTGCAGTCTGCTCCCTTTGACTTTTCTTCTGCTTTCCACATCAGCTGAAGATTTAGACGCTTTCCTGCTGCCTGTGTTGAGAGCTGTCTTCCTGAGTTGGAAGCCAGTTAGCTAAGGGCTGGCCTACCTGGTGACTGTATCTTATCTTTCCCAATCCTCAACACCAGCTGGGTCCTGGTTGCCAGGATTAGGTTGCCACCCCCATCCTCCTCCTAGCCCTGGTGAACCAACCTTTCCTGTGTATCCAAAGCAAACAGATCAGGTGCCCTACATCCCCGAGGGGCACCCTCTGTGCCTCCCTAGTAGTCCTGCTGACAATGAGAGCCTTGCACTGGGACCTGAGATGCTGGAGGGGAAAACTCCATTCTCCCTGAAAGCCACAAGGCCCCATCTGGGACACATCTTGTGTCCACTCCCAGAAGGACCACAGAGCAGGGAAGCACAATCTCTCCAGCTGGCAATGTTGTGGACCCTTTGCAAAGCCCACCTCCCAACCCCTCTGTGTCCCCAGGCCATGGAGAGCAAGCTCCTCATTGGGGGCAGGAACATCATGGATCACACCAACGAGCAGCAGAAGATGTTGGAACTGAAGAGGCAGGAGATTGCCGAGCAGGTAGGGCCGCCAGGTGCCAGGTCCCCTTGGAGAGCGTGGCCTGCAGCTCGTATCTGGGAGGTGTAGGGCAGTAAACCATGGTGGACTCTGGATCTCTGGAATTACAGTGCTGAGAATCTCAGACATGCCACCCTGGGTCCCACAGGTCTACTAGCCCACGGTCTTCCCTCTGGCAGGGGCACTGCTAGCTGGTGGGTGAGAGGACGTGATAGCTCTCCATGATGTCAGCCTCCACAAGCCACCTGGTGCTAATTCCTGGGCCTTCCACAAGGTGGTGCGAGTTCTTTGCCAACTGTATGACTATTTCCCTAAATCATCAAGAACCACAATTTGTTGGTCTTACCAATAAACTGTTACACTACTTGGGGAGAGGGTGAGGCAGCTTGGAAGGCAGTGTGATGTGCCTCCATCTGTGTGACTAACACCCCTGGAGTAGGCCAGCTCTTAGGACTGGAGTCTCCATCCATATGGTGCAGAGCCTGGCAAAGGCATGGCCCTAGGAACTGAGAAGCGGGTTCCCAGGGGCTGTGCAGGATTGGGTGGGAGCGGTGGATGTGGGCCATGGGCCATGGTGAAGCCAGGTCCCGACACAGGGAGAGTGAGCCAGTCCCCTGAGCGTTCTTGGCCCTCCTGGGTATGCTCTGCTCCTTTGAGCCACACTGTCCGTCCTTGGCCTAGAAACGTCGTGAACGGGAGATGCAGCAGGAGATGATGCTCCGAGATGAGGAGACCATGGAGCTCCGGGGCACCTACACGTCCCTGCAGCAGGAGGTGGAGGTCAAAACCAAGAAACTCAAGAAGGTGAGATGCTGCAGTAGGACCAGTCAAGGTGTGCTGGAGGCCCAGCAGTCTCTGCCCAAGGGTGTCTGCTTCAGGGACTCCTCCCCATTTGGCTGGAACTGCTGAACCCTTGAGTGACATGGCTTGGGCCTCGGGAGTGAATAGCAGGGGGAGGCAGGAGGCGGGGGCTGGGGGTGGAGTAGAGCCTTTTCTCCTGGGCCAGGGTGGGCTGTGACAGGCTGCAAACTCTGTCACTTGCAGTATCCAGGGTTACCATCCTTATGGTCCTGGGTGATTTCCCCATTCAGTGTCACCAGTGAGTCACAGTTGGGATAGCTGGGCCTGGAGCAGGGCCAGGGGAATACAGAGAGGCTGAGGAGGAGACTGGAACCCCAGGAAGCTCAGGCGGGGAGCATAAGGCCCTCAAGGACATGTCAAGGGATGAGAATAGCCGCTCACCAGGACCCTGCAAAGCCCGTAGCAAGGGAAAGACATGTACATGTGAGGAGGGTCTAGGGCAGGAAGCAGCAGAGCTCCAGCTTGGATTCTGGGAGAAACCTGGAGACCCTTTGGGGTGGCTGATGTGACTGCCCTGGGGCAGGCCCGACAGAGACACTCCCACTGAGGCAGTTACCATGGACCCAGCCCTCAGCGGCTTTGGAGAGCAGCAGGATGGCCATGCTGCCTCCACACCCCACTTTTGAGAGCCCCTGAAGAGACTGGAGTGGGAGGAGTCACCTTCCAAACTCTTTCAGGCTTCCTGCTCCCTGAGCCGGGTCTCCAAATGAGCCCTTGATCTCCAAATGGGCCCTGAGTCCCAGTTCCAGCTCTTCTATTTGCTGGTTGTGTGACCTTGAGCAAGTCTGTGCCTGGCTTCCTCCTCTGTGAAAGGAGGGTATTGGACCAAAAGGTCCCTGGGGTCCCCTCCCGTTTGAACACTCCACGATGCTGATAGCAGCTGAGAAAGAGCAGGCAATGGCCACAGGCCTCAGTGTAGGAGGACGGGGCACCCCTTTAAATAGCCCAGCCCAATTCGTGGTGGGTTGGGCACAGCAGGGAGTAAAGAAAAGGACCCCCAGCCTCATCGTGGGCTGAGTCGGTGGACTCTGAGCCTGCAGCCCTGCGGCCCAGGCTGAGTGACTGGGGCCTCATTGCTACACCAAGCAGCCTCTGAGTGGCACCTGTCCCCATCCAGCTCTACGCCAAGCTGCAGGCGGTGAAGGCGGAGATCCAGGACCAGCATGATGAGTACATCCGCGTGCGGCAGGACCTGGAGGAGGCGCAGAACGAGCAGACCCGCGAACTCAAGCTCAAGTAGGGCCCGCAGCTCTTTTCCTCCCGGGTCCCACAGCCAGCCATCATTACTCAGGCCTCTCCTTCCCGAAGGCCGCATCCTGACTGTCTCCTCTCCCATGAGTCCCTTAGGAACAAAATGCGTCTGAGGACTGAGGGATGGGCCCACGTGCTGGAGTTTCTTCTACCTCCTCTGCCTGTATTTTATGAACCCCTCAAAATGGACGCTAGGTGCTGGCCAAAATTAACTCTGAAGGCCCTGAGGCTACCATCTTTGCATAAGAAGCAGTGATTTTAAATTTTTTAAAATTTATTTTTAGGGCCGGGCGCAGTGGGCTCACGCCTGTAATCCCAGCACTTTGGGAGGCCGAGGCGGGTGGATCACCTGAGGTCAGGAGTTTGAGACCAGCCTGACCAACATGGTGAAACCCCGTCTCTATTAAAAATATAAAAACCTAGCCGGGCGAGGTGGCGGGCGCCTGTAGTCCCAGCTACTCGGGAGGCTGAGGCAGGAGAATGGCGTGAACCCGGGAGGCGGAGCTTGCAGTGAGCTGAGATCCGGCCACTGCACTCCAGCCTGGGCGACAGAGCGAGACTCCGTCTCAAAAAAAGTAAAAAAATAAAAATAAAATAAAAAAATAAAAATAAAAATTAGCTGGGCATGGTGGCAGGCGCCTGTAATCCCAGCTACTCGGGAGGCTGAGGCAGAATTGCTTGAACCTGGGAGGTGGAGGTGGCAGTGAGCCAAGATCACGCTACTGCACTCCAGCCTGGGTGACAGAGCGAGACAACGTCTCAAAAAAAAAAAAAAAAAAAAAGGTGGCTCATGTCTGTAATCCCAGCACTTTGGGAGGCCGAGGCGGGCGGATCACGAGGTCAGGAGATCGAGACCATCCTGGCTAACACAGAGAAACCCCACTTCTACTAAAATTATAAAAAATTAGCCAGGCGTGGTGGTGGGCGCCTGTAGTCCCAGCTACTTGGGAGGCTGAGGCAGGAGAATGATGTAATCCTGGGAGGCAGAGCTTGCAGTGAGCTGAGATGGAGCTCCAGCTTGGGCAACATAGCGAGACTCCGTCTCAAAAAAAAAATTATTTTTAAATCTGTTTTAAAAATTATTTTTAAAATGTATATAGTATATGTATATAGTATGCGTATATAGTAGGTATATATATTAATATTTGTGGGATACATTAGATTTTTTGTTTTTGAAGATGGAATATTGCTGTGTCATCCACCCTGGAGTGACCTCAAACTCCTGACCTCAGGTGATCCGCCCACCTCGGCCTCCCAAAGGGCTGGGATTACAAGTGCGAGCCACTGCACCTGGCCACATGAGATGTTTGGATACAGGCGTGCAATGTGAACTAAGCAGATCATGGAGAATGGGGTATCCATCGCCTCAAACATTTATTCTTCAAGTTACAAACAATCCAGTTACACTCTTTAAGTTATTTTAAAATATACAATTGGCTCGGGTGGTGGCTCATACCTGTAATCCCAGCACTTTGGGAGGCCAAGGCGGGGGGATCCCCTGAGGTCAGAAGTTTGAGACCAGCCTGGTCAACGTGGTGAAACCCTGTCTCTACTAAAAATGCAAAAATTAGCCGGCTATGGTGGCATGTGCCTGTAATCCCAGCTACTCGGGAGGCTGAGGCAGGAGAATCACTTGAACCCCGGAGGTAGAGGTTCCAGTGAGCTGAGATCACACCATTGCACTCCAGCCTGGGCAACAAGTGCAAAACTGTCTCAAAAAAAAAACAAACATATATATACACACACATACACACACATATATATACACATGTATGTACACACATATATACACACATATATACACATATATATACAATTAAGTTATTGACTATAGTCACCCTATTATGCTATCCAATCATAGTGTTTATTCATTTTTCTATTTTTGTGTACCTATTAGAAGCAGTGATTTTTCAAGCTGCAGTATTTCTGTAGGGATCCTTTCTGCTTAACTTCTTGATTTTCCCACCTCCACATTGCCTCTGCCTCTTTTTTTTAAAATAAATAAATTAATTAATTAACTTAGTTTTTTTAGACGAAGTCTCGCTCTGTCACCCAGGCTGGAGTGCAGTGGTGCCATCTCGGCTCACTGCAAGCTCTGCCTCCTGGGTTCACTCCATTCTCCTGCCTCAGCCTCCCGAGTAGCTTGGGACTACAGGCGCCCGCCACCTCGCCTGGCTAATTTTTTTTTTTTTTTGTATTTTTAGTAGAGACGGAGATGGTATTTCACCATGTTAGCCAGGATGGTCTCGATCTCCTGACCTCGTGATCCACCCACCTCGGCCTCCCAAAGTGCTGGGATTACAGGCGTGAGCCACTGCTCCTGGCCCCCTCTGCCTCTTGGCTTGTTGCTTCTAATACTTAAACCCCTTACAGGCACCTTGTGGTCTCTCACTCAGCCAGTTTCCCATTGCTCCTTCATTCCTGCTTTCAGGTACCTAATCATCGAGAACTTCATCCCACCGGAAGAGAAGAACAAGATCATGAACCGGCTTTTCCTGGACTGTGAGGAGGAGCAGTGGAAGTTCCAGCCACTGGTGCCAGCCGGCGTGTGAGTCTCTAACCCAGCCATCTGGGCTGAGGGACTTGTGGGTCCACTCCAGGTTGGGACTGGTGAGGGGCCTGAGGCTCTGCCTGCAGGGAGACAGATGTTTTGTGGATTGGGGAAAAGATGGGGAGGATGCCGATGGGGGAGGAATTTCTCATGATCTAATTTGTAGGGGTCTCTATGATGGAAGGGTGTTCTGGGAAAAAAATGTCTCATTGATCTGGGATGCAGAAAATACCTTGTGAGTGATCTCAGGAGGGAGGAAGAACATCTCAGCCTCTTGACAATCCTAGCGAATGCTAACACATGGCCAGGTCTGGTGAATATTCATTTGTCAGATGCCCGAAATAGCAACCACAGTTAATATTTGCCAAGGGCTACTGTATGCCGGATGCTGTGCAAGACTCAGGAGACGGAAGATAAATTAGATATGGTCCGAGCTCACAGTCCAGTGGGAATTAAGTAATCAGATCATGATGTGATAGAGCTGTGATCCAATCTCAGCGGGCTGGCTCATCCGGGTGATTCAGCATTTCCACCTTTTTCCACGTCCTAGCCCCTTGGGTGCAGCTGCGGCCATTGGCTGGGTGTGCGGCTCCCTCTGCTGGTGGCCATAAAGAACATCCCAACAGAGTGAGGCCTCACCCGCCTGAGCCATGGGCCCTTAATTGCAAATATATAGAGAGAAGTGCTTAGGAGGCCAGACACCAATGCACCTTCCTGGAGATTCTTTGCTCTCTCTAGCCTGGGAACATTAATGTTAAAATAGGGCAAGAGTCTCTCCAAATCTGGAATGGGAAGCTAGCAAGAGGTCTACAGCTTCTCACTGAAGCATCAGATGCCTAAAGGCTGATTTCTTAAAGGCTGATTTTACTTAAGGTGATACCACATAAGTTTGTAAGTGGCAAGCACACGAATAGAGGACTTTTCAATGGTATCACTTTACACCTACAATCCACCTTTCCAATCTAGGTAGAGATTCTCAATAGTACATCAGCTATCACAGAGGTTTTCCACCCTGGCTGCAGCTACAATACCTGTGAGTTGGGCTCCAGAGAGTCTGATTTAAAGGATCCCAGGTCTTAGGTTTTGTGATTCTGCATTTGAAGGCAGGCTAGAAAACCACTGCTCCAATGTCATTTGCTGGAGTTAGATGCTGGCGAGGCTTCACTCTGAAGGGTTATCTTATGCTTAGAAAAGTTCTTTCTAGCTGGGCGCGGTAGCTCAAGCCTGTAATCTCAGCACTTTGGGAAGCTGAGGCAGGTGGATGGCCTGAGGTCGGGAATTTGAGACCAGCCTGGCCAACATAATGAAACCCCATTTCTACTAAAAATACAAAAAAAATTAGCTGGGTGTGGTGGCAGGTGCCTGTAATCCCAGCTACTAGGAAGGTTGAGGCAGGAGAATCGCTTGAACTCGGGAGGCAGAGGTTGCAGTGAGCCAAGATCATGCCATTGCACTCCAGCCTGGGCAACAAGAGCAAGACTCCGTCTCAAAAAAAAAAAAAAAAGAAAGAAAAGAAAAGAAAAGTTCTTTCTGCTGGGCGTGGTGGTGGCTCACGCCTGTAATCCCAGCACTTTGGGAGGCCGAGGCAGGTGGATCACTTGGGGTCAGGAGTTCGAGACCAGCCTGGCCAACATGGTGAAACCTCATCTTTCTTTCTCTCTCTCTCTCTCTCTCTTTCTCTCTCTCTCTTCCTTTCTCTTTCTTCCTTTCTTTATTTTCTTGCTTACTTCCTTGCTTGCTTTCTTTTTTCTTGAGTTGGGATCTCACACTGTCACCCAGGCTGGGGTATATAACTCACTGCAGCTTTGGGCTCCCGGGCTCAAGTGATCCTCCTGCCTCAGCTTCCTGAGTAACTGGGGCCACAGGTATGCACCATTACACCAGCTAAATTTTTTATCTTTTGTAGAAACAGGATCTCACTTTTTTGCCTAGGCTGGTCATGAAGTCCTGGGCTTAAGTGATCCTCATCCCATTGTCTCCCAGCGTTGGGATCACAGGCATGAGCCTCCCCACCCAGCCTGGACTTCCACTCCTTATTTTTGTTTTTTATTTATTTGTATTATTTTTGAGACAGAGTCTAGCTCTGTCTGCACTCAGGCTAGAGTGCAGTGGTGTGATCACAGCTCACTGCAGCCTTGACTCCTGGGCTTAAGCCGTCCTCCCACTCAGCCTCCTGAGTAGCTTGAAGCAGCAGGCAGTTGCCACCATGGCCAGCTAATTTTTTTTTTAATGTTTTTAAAAGTTTGCTTTCTTCCACCGGGTGTTCATGTGTGTAATTCCAGCTACTCTGTGGGCTGAGACAGAGAGATTGCTTGAGCCCAGGCTATTGTAAGCTAGGATCATGCTACTCTCCTCTAGCCTGGGCGACAGAATGAGTCCTCATCTCTAAAAAAAATTTTTTTTAAATTTACTTTCTTCCTTTTAAGTAACCCTTACTTCAGTTGCAAGCAATGTTTTCATTATGGAAAATTTAAATAAACATAGAAAGAATGAAAATTCCACCTAGTGGTAGTGTTTACTTACAATTAGATATGAACTTTCCACCATATTTTTTTTATACATAAACTTTTCTCCTTTTTGAGAGTTAAAATGGTTTGTATATGCTGGAAAAAACCATTCACAGATTTTAAAAATAAAAGTAGCTACCTTAAAACAGCATACTTTAATTAATTTTTATAGTAGATACCTATAATAACTTTTTTTTTTTTTTTTTTGTGAGACGGAGTCTCGCTGTATTGCCTAGCTGGAGTGCAGTGGTGCTATCTCGGCTCACTGCAAGCTCCGCTTCCCAGGTTCACACCATTCTCCTGCCTCAGCCTCCTGAATAGCTGGGACTACAGGCGCCCGCCGCCACGCCCGGCTAATTTTTTGTATTTTTAGTAGAGACGGGGTTTCACCGTGTTAACCAGGATTGTCTTAATCTCCTGACTTCATGATCTGCCCGCCTCAGCCTCCCAAAGTGCTGGGATTACAGGCATGAGCCACTGCACCTGGCCCCTATAATAACTTTTTAAAAAGAAAGAAGCTTGCTAGAATACAGATCCTTCTTTACTGTGTAATGTTGCCAATTTCTAGCCCATTGTCTTTTTTACCCTGATCTTCTGCTTTAAAGGCAAGTTTGTGCTCTTTATTAAAGGGTTCTAATGTATGTCCCTAAAAGCCCTCTGCTCTTGTTGCCCAGGCTGGAGTGCAGTGGCGTGATCTCGGCTCATTGCAACCTCCACCTCCTGGGTTCAAGCAATTCTCCTGCCTCAGCCTCCCCAGTAGCTGGGATTACAGGTGCCCACTACTACGCTTGGCTAATTGTTTTTATATTTTTAGTAGAGACAGGGTTTCACCATGTTGGTCAGGCTGGTCTCGAACTCCTGACCTCAGGTGATCCCCCTGCCTCGGCCTCCTGAAGTGCTGGGATTACAGGTGTGAGCCACTGTGCCCAGCCTTCTTTCTTTTCTTCTTCTTCTTTTTTTTTTTTTTTTTTGAGATGGAGTCTTGCTCTGTCCCCAGGCTGGAATGCAGTGGTGCCATCTCGGCTCACTGCAACCTCCACCTCCCAGACTCATGTAATTCTCTAGCCTCAGCCTCCCAAGTAGCTGGGATTACAGGTGCACACCACCACACCCGGCCAATTTTTTGTTTTTGTTTTTGAGATGGAGTCTAGCTCTGTCGTCAGGCTGGAGTGTAGTGGCGTCATCTCGGGTCACTGCAACCTCCACCTCCTGGGTTCAAACAATTCTCCTGCCTCAGCCTCCCGAGTAGCCAGGACTACAGGCATGTGCCGCCATGCCCAGCTAATTTTTGTATTTTTAGTAGAGACTGGGTTTCACCATGTTGGCCAGGATGGTCTCAAACTCCTGAACTCGTGATCCGCCCGCCTCGGCCTCCCAAAGTGCTGGGATTACAGGCGTGAGCCACCATGCCCAGCCTAATTTTTATATTTTTAGTAGATACGGGGTTTTACCATGTTGGCCAGGCTGGTCTTGAACTCCTGATCTCCAGTGATCCGCCCACCTTGGCCTCCCAAAGTTCTGGGATTACAGGCACAAGCCACCTCACCTGGCCTCCACCTTTCCTCTCTGTGATTCCTCCCACTGTCCTTGAGCAGGGAAAGTTGTGAAAAAAGAGTCGGTTCTTTGCCACTGGAAAACTGGAAAACTCTGTTTTTTCCGCAGAAGCTATTTGCTTTATTTTTACTTATTTTATTTTATTTTATTTATGTTATGATACAGAATCTTGCTGTGTCACCCAGGCTGTAGTGCAGTGGCATGATCTCGGCTCACTGCAACCTCCGCCTCCCAGGTTAAAGCAATTCTCCTGCCTCAGCCTCCTGAGTAGCTGGGATTACAGGCACCCACCACCATGCCCGGCTGATTTGTTTGTATTTTTAGTTGAGACAGAGTTTCACCATGTCGACTAGGCTGGTTTTGAACTCCTGACCTCAAGTGATCTTCTTGCCTTGGCCTCCCAAAGTGCTAGGATTACAGGTGTAAGCCACCACGCACAGCCAAAAGTTATTTGCTTTAAATTTACCTCCATAGTGTTAAGTTGCATTATTTTGCTGCTGTTGTTGAGATGCAGTCTTATCTGTCACCCAGGCTGCGGTGCAGTGGCACCATGATAGCTCGCTGTGTTGCCTGGGCTGGTCTTGAACTCCTGGCTTCACGCTAATCCTCCCACCTCAGCTTCCCAAAGTGCTGGGAATACAGGCAGGAGCCACTGCATGCAACTGGCCTTAAATTTTATTATTTTTATTTTTATTTTATTTTATTTTTTTTTGAGACATTCTCACTCTGTCGCCCAGGCTAGAGTGCAGTGGCAATATCTTGGCTCACTGCAACCTCCGCCTCCTGGGTTCAAGCAATTTTCATGCCTCAGCCTCCTGAGTAGCTGGGATTACAGGCTTGAGTCACCGAACCCGGCCTTAATTTTATCCTTTGTAAAGGGACTACCCTGACCAAGAATTGAACCCAGGCTGCAGCTATGAAAGGACAGGATTTTAA